AGGGTAGCTCTAGGAGAGCAGGGTTGGGTGTGCTTCCCTCCGGCGTGCGGCTCTGGAACCTGGGAGCACAGAGAAAGGCCCCCCGGGGCTGTGAGTGCTTTGAGGCTCTTCACTCTTTTCCCCTCTGAAGCACACAATTTCCCTGCCACCTCCCTCTACAGGCCAGAGCTGAGCTCCCAGCTTCTGCAGCGCCCCCTGCCCTGCCAGCCCCTGCTCCTACCACAGCAGAGCCCACCCCGGACCCCCAGCACCCGTCGCATCATCCTGTGCCATGGAGGCTCACAGGATGCCTTCCCCTGCCACACAGCCCCAGCCTCCCCCCTTCACCCTGCTGAGAAAAGGGGTTCATCTCCACCACTGCTGCACTGACCCAGCGACAAGCCTCGCCCACGCTGCGGGTGCTGTTCCTGCTCCTCGTGAAGCTTTCAACCCAGGCCAGAGCTTTGGGGGGAGGGGGTCAACCCCAGCTTTCTAAAGCTGCTGCTTAACCTTGGGGTATGGGGGAGAGGGTGGAGGGTCCCCAGGGCCAGTTCTCCCTGCAGCCAGCCCAGGCGCAGCCCTTAGACCCGCAGTTTGACTTCGTGCCTGTGCTGGCTGGGTGTGTGGAGGTTGCGGGTAGAGGGGCAGATCCAGCTTCTTTTCTGTAAAGTTGTTGGTGACTTTTGTTTTGTTTTGGTTTTTTTTAACTAAGTCTGCTGGAAACTTCTCTCATGTTGTTAAATAAAACATTTATTTTGGGCCCCTGCGGCTCAATACACTGGGGCTGGTTAGAACTGTGCTTGCCTTGCCTCCAACAAGGGATAGCAGAGCCACATCCTCCCTGCGGGTCCAGCCTGGCAAGGCCACCCCACTCTAATAAGCCAATTCTTACCTCTCTGATGCTGGCATCCAGCCCTTTCCTGAGCAGAGATCCTTGCTGGGCCAAATACTTGTGTATCTCCCCAGCCCAGTGCCTGCAGCAGAAGCCAACTCCAGGCCCCCTCAGACAAACAGCACAGTGGTTGTGGCTGCTCGCACCCTGCCCTGTTCACAGACCAGGGGGCTGCAGTTCAAGTCTGAGAATCTGTAGATTTGTGCAGTTGGCAAGAGCCCTTAGGCACATCTAGGAGCTGCTTTTCCAGCCCTAGAGCCCTTAATAGAAAGGCAAAGGCCTTTCTGCAGCAAGTGAGGCTTGCTCTTCTACTCCACTACCTCTTCAGGGAGACTTTGCACTACTTCAGACCAGCACAGGACGAGCAATGCAGGAGCAGAGCCAGACATGCCAGCAGGACACACTGACAGCTAGCAGCAGAGATGCCTGGCTGCTTGCAGGTCACCCACACTCAGGCCAGCGTACCGCCTCCATCCCTGCCTCCAGCTCAGAAATAAGGCCAGCCCAAGCCCAACTAGATGCCCAGCAACTCTGCTTTTCCTCCTGCCCCTCTCCACTCATAGAAGACCATACAAGCAGATTTTGTCTAGCCTTTATTAAAAGTTATAAAAAGAGGTTCAAGAGCTTTTAGCAGCTCCAAGTTAGTAGTAGTGCAAACCATTGGTTAGAGAAAGAATCATCCCTGCAGACACATCAAACGCCATTTGGCTTTGCATCCACAAAAAGCAAGTTTTCCCAGCTGCAGTCCTGTACCTTGAGCAAGGGCCCAGGACAGAGCAGGCTGCCAGCTCAGGGAAAGTCTCTCCTTCCTTCTCCTTCAGCTGCACACACAGCAAACACAGGTCCCAGGGGCTTCCCAGGTATGATGGAGCAGGAGAAGTGCATGAGGGTGGATGCAGCCGGCATTCTGGAAGAGGCACTGAAGGATTACCAGGTAGCAGCTCAGACACTAGCCAGGTTCATTGCAGGGAAATTCCTTTGCGGGGACAGACAGCTGCATTTCAAACATCTAAAGTACCTCCAGAGAGTGCCTGGAAGGTGATGCTCAGTCACCTCTGCAGCAGACACTGCTCCCCCTGAGCACAGCCCAGGGCACTCTAAGAGCCCTCTGCCCACTGCTGACCTTGTAGGAACATGGTACTGGCTGCTCAGAGGCTGCAGAGGTCTGAAGGAAGCAGTAAGAAATGTTTATTATATAAAAGAATTTGGCCTGTGTTGTCTTCTGTTTTTCCCCTCCCCAAGCCCTCATAATGGCAGGGCTCCTCAGCTGGTGATCTGCACTGGTATCTTCCAGCAGAACAACATCTGGTCCTTGTCATCCATCAGCTCCCACTTCACAATCAGTTTAATCTGAAAGAGAACAGCAGAGGAAAATGAGTGTTCAGGAAACCTTAAGGCAAAGACTTGGGGAAAGAAATCACTTGTGTGGAGCAAGGAGGTCCTGGGAGCTCTGTGCAAAGAGGACAGAGCTGAGGCGTTGCCTCCAACAGCAGGTGGGCCTGCACCAAGAGTTCAGTTGCACAACACGGGAGACCTCTGCGCTGTGCACTCGGGATTCCCACTCTCTGAGCAAGCAGAGTGCAAACATCCTGTGGCCTCCCAGCCCCAAGTGCGCTCTGGAGCTGAGCAGCTCCAACTTGGAAACATTTGGCTGAATGCAGTAGGCTCTGCAGGGACGCGTGGGGCAGGATACTTGAGCAGCTGAAGCCACTTCTCAGCAGCTGAAGCCAGGCTGCTTCCACTGCTGGGTCTGTCCCAAAGTGGGAACCTGAGACAGAGTCATACTCCCAGCAGAAGGGCTAACTGAAGACTTCTCTTCCCCACCACCACAGGACAAACTGTCCTTCCTTAAAGGCAGGTGGTGGGACTGTCCCACGATGGACGGTAGCTCTGTGGAGACCAGCCACCTGCTTACTTACGCTCGGGTACTCGCTCTTCACAGGGAGTTTATTCAGGTAACTGTAGGAATGGCCCTTATGAATGGGACACTGGATCCCAGACTTGCATCCATCAGGCTCAGGAATGGGAAACGGTATGTCCACGCCAAGCATCTCGCCGTACACCTTCGCTTTGCTGCCCTGGCTCTCAATCTCTGCAGAACACAGCGAAGCATGAGTGCAGCACCGCAGCAGAGAAGACATTTCTACCTCATACCCTCGCCTCCACGTACTCTGGAGACTGCAAGAACACGGCTAAGGGACCCTCCATCTGGCTACTTCTTCCCACCCAGACCCCTCTCCAGCCCCAGCAGTGGGACAAAGAGGTGACCACCACTCCGCACCCCAGCTGGGGAAGCGATACTCACTGCTTGCAAAGGTGACGTTGATGCTGTAGGACGTCCCCTTGTGAAGCAGGCAGGGCTGCGTGGGGCAGGGGCTCACGTTCACCTCCTGGATGCTGCCGTCTATGGAACCTGCGAGGA